CAGTTCGACGCTCTCAATTACGTGTGTCGCTATATCCCTTCCTACTCCAATATACTGTCTTAATTCGACTAATTTATCGAATAGTTCCTTTTCGGTACCATCGTATTTTAATTTATAAACCTTCCGGCTACCTTCTTCAACTGCGTTTCTATTTCCCACTTTGTAGTGCTGTTCAACAAACCCACTGTCCTCCTTTATTTGGGATAATTCGGGATACCGGTCCTTAAATAATTTCTGCACCCCATTTTCCAAATTCGCGTCCCGGGGGTCAACAATCATAACTTTGATTATATTATCATTTGTCTTAATCGGGTTGCCTTCCATGCGGATAGTTCTTGTATACACTTCTTCTGACCAGTTCCTATCCGCTATACACCGCCATTCTTGGTACTCCTTCGCTTCCGTTATTTGTTGCACCAAGTTCTCTTCTATAGTTTGAATTGCCACCCCTGATGTATTTTCACCTAGGAAAGGTTTCCCACGTTCTAGTTTTATCTTTGTAACTTCTTCTTCTAGGGCCCTGACTTTCTGCTCCAACCTTTTATATCCCTCCTCCTTTTCTCTCAACTCCTCCGCTTGCGCCCTTTGGAGTGTTATTACCAAAGGCTTTAGTTCTCTAATAGCAGTTTTCAACGGGACAGAGGTATTTTGTTGTATTAGCTCGGCAAGTTTTTCTACTTTGATACCACACCAAACTGTACCATCTCCTCACTGCCAATCATCTCTATCCCTGTTCCTGTGTCCTCTGAACTCTTTCTTATGTCTTCACTTCTTTTACTCGCCATTCTACCTTTTAACCCGCGCATCGTATCGTGCTGTTTCTCTTCTGCATTTCTTTTGCTTACAGCTCCTTGAGAGCCTGTCTTTTACTACGCCTTGAGACGTAGCCCTCAAAGCTCTGGCTAGCAGAGTCCTGTGAAATATCCTGCCGTTGTACAGGTCTAACAGTCGCCGGGAGGTCGACCTTACTCTCCTCCCGGTATTTTTCCGAGGCTTCTTCTTTCGTTTCCATTAGCCATAGTTGGAGGTGTCAGGCGCCTACCTTACGCCCCGTTTTATACCTTACCGGCAGGTACACATTTACACGACCTTCACACGACAGTACCCTTGACACTTAAACACTGAACACTTAATCCCGTGCCCCCTGTAACCCCAGACAGGGACATTTCGTGGGTTATTGTCGCCCGGGACCACGCGACCCCAGCTTTTTAAGGAGGTATGCTCCTCCACCTGTAACCCAGGCGGGTGCCCTTATGGGATGCTACCGGCCGGGCCAGCTAGACCCCAGTTTTTTAACGAGGTATGCTCCTCGAGCTCAGGCGGCCTCGGGTTCGCTAAGCCCGTACCCAGTGACTCCTCACTGGGCCCCTGAGGGAAACCCAACCCAACCCAACCCTTTTTTTTTTTTGGCGCAGAGGAGGAGAAAATCTTTATGACTGAGCCCCGACCGGATATAGCGCCTGGAAAAATTATCCGATCGGGAGTGTGGGACTCTCCTGGCATAGATGTTGTTTGCCAGGTCTACCGCACTAAAAACTCCCCCTCTTTTTTTGTTCGCATGGACTGGACCTTGGCTATCCGGAACCGCTCGCGCATCTCTTCGGATAGTCTGCGACTTTAGATGTTAGATACTTTGTTCTTTTCCTTCCCTCGTCTCTATTCCACCCCAGCCAACTTTTCTAGCTCTTCCAGTGTACATGTAGACATATATTTTCTTTAACTTTTTGAATTAGTGATTTATAAATTCGTACCTGAATGAGAGGGCGGAAGCCCTCTCATTTGTTCCTCTTCTTCCTCCTTCCTTCTCAACTCGATGGAATCGTCTTTCGTTTCTCGCCTCTTTCTCTTTCTTCTCCATGCTCGCTCATTACATATGACATAGGGGATTCTATTAATTTTTTAACTTTATTTATTTTTATTGCATACCTGAGCTCAGGGAGCGATTGCCCCCTCTTTGTTGGTGCTCTTCCATGTCATTTCTACCTACTCTGTTTCTTTTATTGGCTGGAGTCTTCTTTCTCTGCATCTCTTCTCTTTTCTTCCACCTCCTTCTCTTTCATTATTCTGGTTAGAAGGTCCATTACCTCCTCCCCCACTTCTCTCGTTTCTATCAACAACTCGTGTATACTTTCTATTTTAATTTGTCTTCCTATCTTTATTTCTGCTCGCTTTCTCAACTGTTCGAAACGTGTGCATTCAAATACAGTGTGCCTTGGATTGTCTTCCAGACCGCACCCGTACCAGCATTCACTTGATGTTCTTTTCTTTATCTTTGTTAGGTACTGCCCAAATATGCCATGGCCCAAAATTGCCTGGGTTGCGTAATAGTTTGTGTTAACTCCCTGCTTTTGCCATCTTTTCACGTCCCTGATGAAGTGCTTCGCCCATCCTTGATACTTATCCCACCTCTCCTGCCAGCGTCGATACATTTCTGCCCTGTTTTCCTCTTTTCTAGTTCCCTTCGATTCCCAATTTCTAGCCCTTTCCCATACTAGAAGATCATAGGGAGGACACCCGGCCAGTACACCTACCGCCTCAGTCGATGCGGTTCTATATGCCGATGTAACGTGTATTGACGTTTTTCTTTCTATTGATCTAAGTATGTTTCTATATTTTTTGAACTTCAAGGCACTCTCCCATGCTGGGGCGGCGTACAGGGTTGCTGACTCTATTACTTTAGCCAGCAGCTTTCTCTTTCCCTGGCTTGGGCCTCTTATTCTTGGCATAAGTCCTGCCAGCGCATTGATTGTTTTGGCCGCTTTCTCGGTTACTTTACATACGTGAGCCGTCATCCTTAGATCTTTATCGACGTGCACTCCTAAGTACTTTACAGACTTGGAGCTTTTAATTTTTAAGTTGTTCACCTTTAACTCGATCTGCTGTAGTCCACGTCTGCCTTCAAGTATTACTATTTCTGTTTTGTGTGGTGCTAACTGAAGCCCCATCTCTTCTAGTTTTCTGCTTATGTTCTCTATGCAGTATTCTGCCTTGTCTTTCAGTTCCTCCGTTTTCATTCCCTGAACCACCACCGCTATATCGTCTGCATATGCTACAATGTTCACTCCTTGCTCGGTCTTCATTTGCAATACTCCTTCGTAATACAGATTCCATAGCGTGCCACCAATCACCGATCCCTGTGGAACACCAGCGGTCATCTGCTTCTCTCTTCCATCCGGTAGTATTACAGTTCTTCTGCATAAGTAACTTCTCATTAGCCTCATTATCGTTATGGGTGTGTTACAACTTTTACGGGCCTCTAACAGTTTTCTCCATGGCACCGAGTTGAATGCATTCTTTACATCCAGTACTACCATCAGTCTATAACCACGATGAGTCAGTGAGATATTCTTTCTATCTTGAGTTTCCGTTATTATTTTCATTATTGCGTCTACTGTACCCATTCCCTTTCTATAACCAAATTGTGCGTCGGAAATCAACTTGTTCTTTTCTAGGTGTTCAGTAATACGTTTATTAATTATTCGTTCAAGTAGCTTTCCCACTGTGCTCAGTAGGCAGAGCGGTCTGTATTGCTTTTCTTCATTATCCTTTTTTGGTTTTTCAATTAAGACCAGTTTCGCTCTTCTCCATATTTCCGGGAATTCTCCCATTTCGAAACACTTATTAAAGACATCCAGGAACACGTTGGGACTGGCTTTTACACAAGCTTTCAATATTTTGTTAGTAACGGAGTCTTCTCCTGGAGCTCTCTTTGGTTTTAATTGTTGTAAGCATTCATTTAATTCTTCTTGTGTAACTTGTTCCAATGTTTCCGAGACTTCTCTTTCTTCTTCAAGTTCATCTCCATTTCCTTGCTCTTCACCTCTCGTCGTGTTGTTCTTAATCTGTGGAAACAGCTTTGCAAATTGATGGTCTATCGTATTTGTGTCCAGATCTTCTTTCTTTCTTACGCCCAGTCTTTTTGTCGCTATCTGATAAGCCGTACCCCACGTATCGTTTTCGAGTTCCTCACACAATTCCGCCCATTTTTCCTCTTTGCTTTTCTTTATTAGTATGTTTAAACTTTTCTTAACTTCTCTATACTCTTCATGTATCCTCTGCTCGTGTTCCGGTGTTCCTCTACGTTTTCTAGTTCTTTGTAGCTGTCTTCTTTTCTGCACGCATCGCTTCCTCATTTCATATATCTCCGTGTTCCACCAGTACACCTTTCTTTTATTTGTGGGTTTATTTCTTTTTTCTAATATTTTATTGCAGGCATTTATAATTGATTTCATCAGATACTTCTCGGCTCATCTACGGTCTCTGCATCTTGGTTGCCTCCTTCTTGAACTGTTTCTCTAGAAAGACGAGTTTTTTTGGTGTTATTTTCCATCCTATTTTTTTCTGTGGTTCTATCTCTTTTTCATCTTCGTCTTGTACAGTAAAGCTTATCAAATTGTGATCACTCAACATTTTCGTGTCCGTTTCCACTTGCCAATTATTTATTTTGTGCAAGAGTTCCTGGGTTACTATGGTCAAGTCTATTATTGACTTTCCTCTTTGGCTGACGTAAGTTGGATTGATTCCGATATTTGCTATAACTAGTCTATTCTTAATGACCCATTCCTCTAGTATTCTACCCCTCTCATTTAATTTAGTATCTCCCGCCATGTGCGTTCTCGCATTAAAGTCGCCTCCTATTATCATTAATCTTGGCGTCGCTCCTCTCATCAATGTTTATTCGACATTATTGAGCAGATCTTCAAATTCATATCTTGGTCGGTTTGGTGAGAAATAAATCGACACCACCGTATGCTCCCTTAGTTCAACCGCTACGTACCCCTCTCCTCTGAACCATCTAATTGGTCTACCCACGTTTTTGTCTATTTATGTAAAACAGTCGCCGTTTACATCTATTTGCAGATTTTTTGATCTTCTTACATTGGGCTCCTGTCCTAATATTATCCCTGCATTTCGTTTTTTAGCTTCATATTCTATCAGATCGTGACAGTCCCATCTTCTATTACAATTTACTTGTAATATTTTTAGTTCTTTTGTTTCTTTTACTTGCTTAAATGTTGGGACTTTGAAGTTTCTTTCAGTCCCTTTTCCTCGCTCTTCTTTACTTTTCTTGGTTGTTGCTTTGTCCATTCTGCTTTCTGTGCTTCAATCAGTTCTCGTTCATCATTAGTTCCTACTTTTGCATTTTCTTTTTTTTCCATGTTTTTTCTTGTTGTTTTGTCGGTCATTGTCTGCGTTTTTTTCTCCTCTTTTTCTCCATCTGGATTCGATATTTTTGTCATATCCATGTTCCCCTCCCGCTCTTCCATGGGATTTATGTCTGTACTATTTTCCATATCAACTTCTTGGGTCATGTTTTCTTTTTTGTGTGTCTCTTTTTGTCTTTCCTTCTCCTCTGATTGTTTGTTATATTTCAACATTTCTCTAAACTTTTTGCATCTATTGCTTCCTGCTCTGTGTTCTTCTGAGCCACAGTCTAGGCATTTCATAGGGTTAGTGCAATTCTTGTTCTTGTGTCCTTCTTGGCCACAGTTATAGCACTTGCTCGATCTATCTTCTCCCTTACAATTCCTCGCCAAATGCTGCGGTGACCAACATCTATTGCATCTTTTTATCTCTCTTCTTTCCTCTACTTGGCACATTGCGAGCCCCATTCTAATTCTCTTTTCATTCAATAATCTCTCAGTCCCTTCCCTACTTAACTGTACTGTTACCGCAAGCATACTTTCTGCATATGGGCGCATCGAACTTATGCTGAATTCAGTTTCGGTAATATTCCCAATTTTCTTTTGGATAGCATCTCTAACTTCTTGCTGATCCGTTCCTATCGTCATGCCTTTTATATGTATTATTTTCGTCTTTTCTTCTTCCCTCATTCCTCTCTCGCTGACTATCTGTCCCTCTTCATTTTTTAACAGTCTCTGTATTTCCCTGAATGCGGTTTTATTTTTTTGGGTAGTCAATAATACCTTTCCCTCTCTCGTCTTTCTTATTCCATCTATTATTTCGGCCTCATGTTTACCTTTCATTTGTGTCTTTATATTTTTTACTATTTCTTCATAATTATTAAAATAATAAACAAATAAATATAACTTCTTATCTTGCAAATTCAATTTATTTTAACGGAACCGGTTTCGACTAGTTTTACTTAGTCATCTTCAGCCGAATGGTCAATAAAAAATAAAATCAACATCACAAAGAGCATATAAATAACATTTTAAAAAATGTGAAATTACACTTTAAAATATAATATATAAATAAATAAACTGTAAAAAGACAAAACCACATGAGTTCTTACACAAACGATGTACAAAATGAATCATTTTGTCAACAGTCATGGATATCAACAGTTATTTCTTCATAAGTTTTACCTGCGTTTTCAACAATTAGCGCATATGTTTTCTTTCTATTCACTTCTTTCTCGCTTTTCCTTTCTTCCTCTATCTTCGCTGCCGTTGTGTAGATGTCAATTTCCACTGGTGTGTCCTTAAAAATGATCTCTATCATCTTTCTTAACTTATTCAGGGGCATGCATCTCAAGTGATGCAATGCTACTCTTTGTTCCGTTTTTACTTCGCTTTTTAATCCTTCTAAACTTCTCCATATTTCTTTTTCTGTTTCATCACAGTTTATTTTAAATATTCTCTCTCTTTTAGTTATTTCTCTATTTCTCATTCTGCTTCTAGTGACTATTTCCATCTCTTCCATTTTTTCATGCATCTCCGATAAGGCTGGAAATGCTTTTCTATATTGTTGCTGTATGCTTTTCGTCATTTCAGGGTCGTCTTTTTCGACTAGCACTACCTTTGTGAGGGTGTTCTGTTGCCAAACGGGATTGCCCTCTACTATGCATGTTCTTCTGTAATCTTCCTCCTTCCATCTGTCGTTTGCTATCATTCTCCAATCATCATAGTTCTCTGCTTTTCTTATCTTTTCCCTTCTTTCTCGGTCTTGTTTCTGTTCTTCAGTCTCAGTTTGCGTACTCANGATGGTTGATTTCAATTGCTAAAGGCATCCTCTAAATCATAGTAAAATTTCATCAATTTTGGAGGTGCCCAACGGGGTCAAATTCACCCCCAAAGTCCGCGCCGCGCTGTGTACCTGTAGTATCTAATAACAAATTTTTTTTCTCGGATACCGTTATACCTTACGGTGTTTGGATAATTGATTTCAATTGCTAAAGGCATCCTCTAAATCATCCTAAAATTTCATCAATTTTGGAGGTGCCCAACGGGGTCAAATTCACCCCCAAAGTCCGCGCCGCGCNCAATTAGCGCATATGTTTTCTTTCTATTCACTTCTTTCTCGCTTTTCCTTTCTTCCTCTATCTTCGCTGCCGTTGTGTAGATGTCAATTTCCACTGGTGTGTCCTTAAAAATGATCTCTATCATCTTTCTTAACTTATTCAGGGGCATGCATCTCAAGTGATGCAATGCTACTCTTTGTTCCGTTTTTACTTCGCTTTTTAATCCTTCTAAACTTCTCCATATTTCTTTTTCTGTTTCATCACAGTTTATTTTAAATATTCTCTCTCTTTTAGTTATTTCTCTATTTCTCATTCTGCTTCTAGTGACTATTTCCATCTCTTCCATTTTTTCATGCATCTCCGATAAGGCTGGAAATGCTTTTCTATATTGTTGCTGTATGCTTTTCGTCATTTCAGGGTCGTCTTTTTCGACTAGCACTACCTTTGTGAGGGTGTTCTGTTGCCAAACGGGATTGCCCTCTACTATGCATGTTCTTCTGTAATCTTCCTCCTTCCATCTGTCGTTTGCTATCATTCTCCAATCATCATAGTTCTCTGCTTTTCTTATCTTTTCCCTTCTTTCTCGGTCTTGTTTCTGTTCTTCAGTCTCAGTTTGCGTACTCATATCTATTTTTTCTACTCTACCGCTCTTCACGCCCGTCCCTTTTTTGTTGATCCATTTTTTGACTTCTTCTCTCTGTAGGACATTTGCTTCTCTTTCTAGATCTGTTATGGCTTTCTTAATTTCTCTTTTTGTATTTTGTTCATTATTTTCTTTCAACACCTGAATCAGAGTTAATATTTTCTGTATTGATTTATCAAGCACTTTTGCTTCTTCGCTGTTATCAACCTCCTCTAACTCATCTTTGTCTTCATTAGTTCCTTCTATTCTTTTTCTCTTACTGGTTTCTCCTTCTCTACAAAGTGATGTTTCTCTTATACTACTTCGGTTACTACTGAAAGACCAGGTTCTCATTCTCCCCGGAGTTTCCTTCTCTAGGGTTTTTATTTCTAGACCTTCCCAAAAGTCCTCTACCTTTTTTTCTTTTTTACCCTTAATTGTTTTATTGTTGGCTGGATTTATTTCTTCGGGTTCTTCTTCTTCCACGTTAATTACTGTTCGGTCTGCTTCTCTTCCCTCGTCGTCCGACGACGATGGGCTTGTCGGCGACGTTCTCTGCTGTACGCTCCCCTTTGTTGGTGAGCGTCCCATAAGGGTACTTCGCCTAAAGATCGTCTGCTCAACATTCTGGCTACTTTGCCCTTCCTGCCGGTCTGTGGTGTTCTTGTTTACATTCATTTCCATTGTTTTAGCTATAGTTTGGTATCTACCAGAGCTTGTAGGATGTTAATGTAAACAAAGAAAAACATTTTAAAATGTCTATTATTACGCGAAAAACGAACGACTATAGAACGTAAGGAAAAATTGGACATAGAGTACCGTCCGAGTCGGCGACCGCGGCCGCTCTGAGCGTTCTGGTCTATCTCACGAGTTGTTATCAATCAGGTCGAGGTTGACCGCGCGCGCGCACTGTCGTCCACGTCGGCCATAATTCCCAACACGTGAAAACAAAATAAAACTTATCAAAACTATACACCCCCCGTGAACAAACCGTATTTTTATATTCTAAAATGATCCTACCTTTAAATAACGGCGTCCATCCGCGCTCATATCACCGGGAAAACTTCCCTGTTAAAACGGGACTTTTCGCACCACTTTATTCACCAAAAACACAAGACAAAACGTCTAATCGCGTTTAAAATAAATCAAAGGCGACTGTTGGCCTATTCTCGCTACAAAACGATGAACTCTTGAGCTTACTACATAATGCTCAGGCTTCGTAGAAGCTGAAGACCCGACTTATCCGCACGTATCTTCACCTCTTCACAGAGCGACTCACTTCGACGTGTTCACTCGTCCGCAGATCGATGTGAACCAACCCAACCCTTTTTTTTTTTTTTTTTTTGGCGTAGAGGAGGAGAAAATCTTTATGACTGAGCCCCGATCAGATATGGCGCCTGGAAAAGATCCGATCGGGAGTGTGGGACTCTCCTAGCCTAGGTGTTATTGGCCAGGCCTACCGCACTAAAAACTCCCCCTCTTCTTCGCTTATAGACTTTAGGCTGCCTGGGATCGCCTAGCATTACTTCAGGCTGCCTGCGAAACAGTTGACAATTTTGTTTTTTCTCTCCATTCTCTCAACCCATTGGTCTCCTCTCATCTTTCTCCTTCGTCCTCATGATTCCAGTTAACAGCTCCATAGTCGCCTTTCCCGCCTCCTCCGTCTCTAGAAGGGTCTCCGCAATGGTCCCGATGTTAATTGACTTCCCTATCTTTTGCTCGGTATTCTCACGCAAAGCAGAAAACTTTTTACAATAAAAGATTGTGTGTTTTGGCGTATCGTCTACTCCACATCCATACCAACACTCACCCGACTCCATTTTCTTTATTTTTTTCAAATAACTTCCGAAGGCTCCATGACCTACGATAGCATGTGTGGAACCCAACCCAACCCTTTTTTTTTGTTTTGGCGCAGAGGAGGAGAAAATCTTTATGACTGAGCCCCGACCGGATATAGCGCCTGGAAAATTATCCGATCGGGTGTGTGGGACTCTCCTGGCATAGGTGTTGTTTGCCAGGCCTACCGCACTAAAAACTCCCCCTCTTTTTGCTCGCATGGATCTTGGCTATCCGGAATCGCTCGCGCATTACATCGGACAGTCTGAGACTAGATGTTAGTTTTTTTTTTGTTCCTTCCCTTGTCTCCATTCTACCCCGGCCAACTTTATACTACGTTCGACCACTATCGCCATCTCTCGGCTCTTCCAGCGTACATGTGGACATATGATTCCTTTAACTTTTGAATTAATAATTTATAAATTCTAAAGCCCTCTCATTTGTTCCTTTTCTTCCTCCTTCATTCTCAGCTCGATGGAGTCGTCTTTCATTCTCCGGCCTGGATGAGAGGGTGAAAGCCCTCTCAGTTGTTCAACTTCTTCTACTCTTCTCCGATGGCTCGCCTATTTCTATTTCTCTTTCTTTTCCATGTTCGCTCATTACATAGGACATAGGATTCTATTAATTTTTAACTTTATTTGTTTTTATTGCATACCTGAGACGAGGGAGCGGTTGTTGGTCCTCTTCTTTGTCGTTTCTACCTACGCTCTTTTTTTTCATTGGCTGGAATCTTCTTCCTCTCCTTCTCTTCTCTTTTCCTCTACCTCCTTCTCTTTCATTATTCTGGTTAGAAGGTCCATTACTTCCTCCGCTACTTTTCTCGTTTCTATCAACAACTCGTGTATACTTTCTATTTTAATTGCTCATCGTATTCTTATTTCTGCACTCTTTCTTAGGAGTTCGAATCGTGCACACTCAAATACCGTATGTCTAGGAGTATCTTCTACACCGCATCCGTACCAGCATTCACTTGTTGTTTTTTTCTTTATTTCTGTTAGGTACTTTCCGAAAATACCATGGCCCAAAATTGCTTGGGTTGCATAATAATTTGTATTAAGCCCCTGCGTTTGCCATCTTTTCACGTCCTTGATGAAATGCTTCGCCCATCCCTGGTACTCATCCCACCTCTCCTGCCATCGTCGATACATCTCTTCTCTGTTTGTATTCATCGTCTCCTCTCGACTTTCTTCAATCGGCTTATCCTTATTTCGCCAGTTCCTAGATCTTTCCTGGACAAGAAGATCCAAAGGGGGGTTTCCCGCCAGCGCTCCCACTGCTTCAGTCGACACTGTTCTGTATGCTGCCGTTATACTTATAGATATTTTTCTTTCTACAGATCGTATTAGATTCTTGTACTTTTTGTATTTCAGGGCTTCTTCCCATGATGGGGCAGCGTAGAGCACCACCGATCTCACAACCGATCCTAGGAGTTTCCTCTTTGCCTCACCTGGTCCCCCAACTCGTGGCATAATCCTGAAGAGCGTATTTTGAATTCTTGACGCCTTTTCTACTATTTTTTTAATATGGGTAGTCATTCGTAAATCTTTATCCATATATACACCAAGATACTTCACAGAACCGCTACTTTTTATTATTTTGTTGTCCACCCACAATTCTATCTCTGGCATAGTTCTTCTGCCTTCTAACACTACTATTTCTGTCTTTTCGGTTGCCAACGCTAAACCCATCTGACAAAGAGTCTCTGCAATTTCATTTAAACAGAATTCTGCTTTATCCATGATTCTTTGTTTGGTCGATTCCTGTACAAGGATCGCGAGATCGTCTGCGTAAGCGATGATTGCTACACCTTTCTCTGTTTTCATCGATACTATTTCTTCGTAGAATATATTCCAGAGAGTGCCACCAAGTACGGAACCCTGTGGTACGCCACAAGTTATCCTTTTTTCTTCTCCTCCTGGTAGTATAACTGTTCTTGTTGACAAGTATGATCTTACTAGTTTCTTCATGCCAGTAGATACATTTGTCTTTTTTATTGCGGAAATTATTTTATGCCAAGGAACGGAGTTAAATGCGTTTTTGACGTCTAGGAGTATCATTACAGCGTAACCTCTGTTTGTGAGTGATATTTTTTTTCATTCTTTTATCCTTTGCACCACCGACATTATTGCTTCCACCGTGCCCATTCCCTTTCTGTAGCCATACTGTGTTTTGCTAATTAAATTGTTTTCGTCTAATTCCCGGACTAATCTATTGTTGATAAGTCTCTCTAACATTTTCCCGACCACGCTTCTCAAACATATTGGCCTATATGATTTTTTCTGTTCTATATTCTTCTTTGGCTTTTCGATTAACACCAGTTTAGCTCCTCGCCACACTTCTGGAAATAACCCATTTTTAAAGCAATTATTATATACTGACAGGAATATCTCACAGTTGGCCTCTATACATGTTTTTATTATTTCGTTTGTTATTCCATCTTCGCCGGGGGCTTTTTTTGTTTTTAATTGTTTTATGCAAACGATTATTTCTTCTTTATTGAAAGGAGATATTGGTTCTTCTGTATCTTCTTCCTCGGTCTCTTGTCTTTCCAGTTGTATAGGGAAAAGAAGCTTGAATTGCTCCTCTATTGTCTCTCTATCAATCTCTTCCCTCTTTCTCGCTCCCAATCTTTTCGTCACTATTTGAAATGCGGTGCCCCAAATGTCTTGTTCTAGCTCATCGCAGAGTATCTTCCATTTCTTTTCTTTGCTTTTCTTTATCAGTATTTTGAGTTCTTTCCTTTTCTGCATGTATTCTTCTGTTTCTCTTTATTACTTCCTCTGGTGTTTTCCTTTTTTTATTTCTTCGCATGATTCTTCTTTTCTGTACACTCTCTTTTCTTACTTGCGCTATTTCATTTGTCCACCAATACTTAGGTTTTCGGTTATAATTACCTTGGTTTTTTTTTTAAAGCTTTTCTCACATGCTTCTTGGATTTTTGTTATAAGTTGATTCGGAGAAGTATCACAGTAATTCTTTGTGATTTTTTTAAAGTGACCTTTTAATTCCTGCATTCCTCTCTCTGTCAGCTTCCACCCTTCTGTCTTATTCAAGGGTTTTGTTTCTTTATCTATTTTCGTTATTTCGAAAGTGATCATATTGTGGTCGCTTAAAACCTCTTCCTCTTCCTCCACCTTCCATTCCTTAATATAACTTGCAATATCCTCACTCGCCATTGTTAGATCAATTATTGAAGAACCTCTAGTACAGCTGTACGTTGGTGTTTTCCCCGTATTTATAAGGATAAGCCTATCCTTCACCATCCATTCTTCTATAATCTTTCCTCTACTGTTTGTAAGGGTATCTCCTGCTGCAGGTGTTCTTGCATTAAAATCTCCGCAAATTATTACGGATTTGTTCTTTTTTCTTATGTATTGCTCTATGGAGTCAAGCAGGTGTTCAAACTCATGATCTAGGCGGTTTGGTGAAAAGTACACCGAAAAGATGGCCCACCTCTCCATTTCCGCTGCTATATACCCCTTTCCTGTAGTCCAGGACTTTGGCCTACCCTCATCTCTATCTATTTTGATAAAGCAATCTTTAGTCTCGTCTGTTGTTAGAGTTTCAGCCTTTCTTCTATTCGGCTCTTGTCCCACTATCACAGTTACCTCTCTTCTTCTTGCTATTTCCTCTATCATTTCCTGGGCATCCGATCTTCTATTACAATTAATTTGTATAATCTTTGTTGTGTTGTTCATTTTTAATATTTTTTTATTTTGCGCCATTTCTAGTTGTGTGGTGTTTCTTCGGCTATACCGCCCCCCACTTCTTTTTTGCTATCTTCACTTCTACTCAGTTTATCTACTTTCTTCCTCTTTTCAATACCTTTCCCTCTTTTACCTTTCCTTTGTGAGGTCCACAGTGGCTCATCTTTTTCGTTTACCTCTTCCAATCCTTCGTCATGACTCACTTCTACATTTTGTCTTCTCTTCTCATTCGAGGTTATTTCTGTATCTGTGTCTTTTCTTAGTTCTATTCTTGTTTCTGTGTGTGTATTTTTCTCTTTCTTTTGCTGCTCCCTTTCTGCGTTTTTATCTTTGTCTCTGACTTGATTCAACAGTTTTCGGTAGATAGGGCATCTTCCCGTTCCCGCTCTATGTCCCTTTACTTTACAATCAGGGCATCTTTCTTCATTCTCACATGTACTCGTTTGACGTCCTTCATCGCCGCACTTAAAGCACCATCCTCTTCTGTCCTCATTTGGACAGTCTCTTGCTAGATGTGTCGCTGACCAGCATAATAGACACTTCTTAATGTCTCTTCTCTCTTCTATTTGGCAGTTTGCTAGTCCTACTCTGATCCTTCCATTCTTTATCAATTTACTAATTGTATCTCTATTGGTCTCTATGGTTACTGCTTGCATGCTTATCGCATACGGTCTCAGTTTCCCTATTTTACATTCTTCTTCTTTCATACTACCGAGCCACTGTTTCACCGCCTCTATTACTTCTTCCCTCTGCGTGGTTATTTCCATTCCTTTTATGCATATATATGCTCTCTTCTTTCTCTCTTCTATTCCCCTGGAACTAACATTTTGTCCTTTTTCTCTGTTTAATATCTCTTCTATCTTTTCAGTAGCATCTTTGTCTCTCTTCGTTACTACTAATACCTTTCCATCTCTTGTCTGCCTTATTCCTTCTATCTTTTCGGCTTCCGCCTTCCCCTTCATTTGTTCTTTGATACCTCTTACCACTTCTGTATATGATTTATCTCGGTTTTCAACAATTAATGCGTAGGTTTTTCTTTGTCCAATTATAGTTCTATCTTGTTTACTCTTTTGGTCTTCCTTTCGTTTAGCTGTCGTTGTGTAGATATCGATCTCTACATCTGTGTCTTTAAATACTATTTCTACCATTTTTTTTAGATCATCTAGGGAGCAGTCTTTTACATGGTGTAAGGCGAATCCTTTTTCTTGCAGTGCCCTGTCCTTAAGCAGTTTTACAGCATCCCATACCCCTCTTTCACCTTCCATTACTTCCAGCTTTATTATTTTTTCTTTTCTTTCTCTCTCTTCCCCTTTTATTTTTGTTCTTGTAAGCATTTCTATCTCTCCATATATTTCAGTTATTTCAGACAACACAGAGTATATTCTTCTATATTGTTGTTGTATTCCTCTATTCATATCTTTTTCTTCTCTCTCGATCATTACTACTTTGGTCTTTATCTCGTTTGGTTGTTGCCATATAGGGTTTCCTTCTATTATTTTAGTGCATTTATAATGCTGTGTCTTCCACTCCAATCCCTTTACCATCTTAAAGTCTTCATAGGTTATGGCACATTCTATTAGGTCGTTGGTTTCTTCTTCGTCTCTTCTCTTTCTTTCTTCTTCCGTCTCTGTCTGTGTTCCTATTTCCCTACCTTTTTGTTTTCTTTTTCCTTCCTCTATTCTCGAATCTATGTTGCTTTTCATTCTATCAAATTGCTTATGTAGTATTTCAATTTTTTCCTTTGTCTGTCCTTCTTCTCTCTCATAGATCCTCCGGAAACTTTTCATCGCACTCTGCATCTCTTTAATACTGTTCTTTAGGGGTACTGCAGTATTTTGTTGTATCAAACTTGCCATATCGCCCATTTTTTTTACTAAATCATCTATTGTATTTTTTACGGTCTTTTTCCTTCCCCCCAATTTAAACATTTCAGCAGCTTTCAGTTCTTTGTCTAAGGACAGCCTTCTTTCCGTCCTGTCTTCGCTGCACTCTCCTCTTTCAACAGGCATTTCTTTTTCCATCTTTTTCTCTTTTTGGGTTTCATCTCTTATTCTCTTCATTTCTCTCTCTAAACTATCGCTCTGTTTCCTCTTTCCATCTCGGCTTTCTTCCCGGTATCCCAACCTTCGGACAGAGATCTATCATCTTTATTCTCAGCATCTGTAGTCTCCGTTGTACTATCATTTGTTCGTCGTTTGTTCTTGATTCTTTGCTTTTACCACTAACGCGAGGTCGTCCGCGTATGCAAATAGTTCCGCCCCCATCTCTAAATCCAGTCTTAGTATTCTGTCATAGAACAAGTTCCATAATAAAGGTCCCAGTAGAGAGCCCTGTGGTACTCCGCAGGTCACCTTGTATTTAATGCCGTTTGGCGCTATTATATATCGTTCAGAAAGGTACCCTTTAATCATTTGTACTAAATACGTACTAACTTTTCCTGCTATCAAGGCCTTCACAATTTCTTTCCACGGTGCAGAGTTGAACGCATTTTCTATATCTAGGAGAATCAGAGCACACACTTTCCTATTTTTTAGGGCTTTTTTCTTAATCTCATCTACTATTTTCTGGACTCTTTCCACCGCGTTTACCGTCGATCTCCCTTTCCTGTATCCAAACTGATTTTGGTGTAATAGACTATTGGTTTCTACCTCTACTTGAAGTCTCTCTCTGAGCAGGCTCTCTAACAGCTTTCCTAGCGTATCTAGCAGGCACAGGGGTCTGTATGTTACACTTGTATCCATTTTTCTTGGCTTCTCCATAAGAACCAGCCTAGCTTGTTTCCAAATTTTTGGAAAGTTTCCATTAGATAGACAGTTATTATAAATTTCTAGAAATATGTCCTTGTGTCTGGGAAGTAAGGCGTTTATAATTTCTGTCGTAATGCCATCCGGCCCTGGGGCTTTCTTTTTGCTTAGCCTTGCTGCTGCTCCTAGGAGTTCATCCTCCGTGAACAAATCCACTTCCATTTGTGCTACCGAGGACTCCCATTTAACTTCTTCTTGTATGGGAAAAAGCTTCTTGACTTGCTCATCTACTTTTCCTTCGTCAATATTTGATCGAGGTTTTAACTTTATCTTCCTTGTTATTATCTTGTAAGCCTTTCCCCAAATATCTTCCTCCAATTCCGCACAAAGGTTTTTCCACTTCTCTCTTTTGCTATTATTTATCAGCTTTTTAGTTCTTTTCGAGCCCTTTTATACTGTTCCCCGATTCTGCGAGTCTCTTCATTTTCTTCTCTGCACCTTTTTCTGCATTTAGTTACTTGTCTTCGTATTTTATTACATTCGTGTCGCTTTTCAGTTATCTCGCTATTCCACCAATACACCGGTTCTCTCCGCCTTGTGTTACCCTTCAGCCCCCCTGCGCATTTCTCGCATAAACGCTTTACATTTCTTACCAGATTCTCCGGGGTTCTTTGCTCCCCCTCCTCGAAAAATTGGTCTTCCTGTGATAGCTTCTGTATGGACCTTTTTGATATCGGCCATCTTCCGGCGGGACTCGCCAGGTTAGGGGTCGTTTTGGATTCTGTCAAGGTGAAAAATATTGTGCGGTGATCGCTCAAGTTATCATTTTCGTCATCTACTTCCCACTCTTTTACTTTTCTACTTAAATTTGTTGAACTGGCGGTAAAATCCACTATAGATTCACCTGCTGGGCCAGAAAAAGTAGGTACCGTGCCCTCATTCAGGATCACCAATCCGTTTGAGCTCAACCATAAATCAAAAACATCTCCCCTTTTATCTCCCTTTTGCGAACCCATTTGAATTATTTTTGCATTTAGCTCGCCCCCTATCAGTATATCTTTGTCGTAATTAGTCATAACTAATTGGATATCGTATAGTAATGTATTGAATTCATCTAACGTCCGACTTGGTGAACAATAACACGAAAATACAACACAACACTTTAATTCCACACACACGAAGCCATTTCCCCCATGATAACTTAACACAGGTAAATCACTATGCATATTAATAAAAGCATCACTGTTAATATCACAAAATTGTTTACACTCACGCTTAACATTTGGTTCACAGCCCATTATCACATCGATTCTTTTTTGTACCACCGTTTGAGCCATAAGATCGTGTGCTGCTCCACATCTATTAAAATTTAACTGCGCGAATTTTAAATCTGACTTTACTTCTTTATTTCCTTCCTGTGTGGTCTCATTTTTCTCATTTTCTTTTTTTGCTCATTATACTTTTTTAAGTCCTTAACGAGCGTTGTAATTGACTCTATAGTTTCTTTAATCATAATGACCTCAAGGCATTTTTTTCTAATATAGGGGTCATCCAGATCTATCGATTCGCAGGAGATATCTGTTATTTTTCTTTTCTTGTGGTCCCCTGAAAGTGAGTGACTTCTTGTGTGCGCAAAAACTTTTTTAATTTTGCTTCCTGTCTTATGTATCTCTTCCTTTTTAGCTTCCTCGGCTTGTTTCACATTGCTTTCTCCCGTTTTTCCACCTGGCTGTTCGTTTCCCAACATTTTTTGGGGATTAGAACGATAAAGTATCAAAAGTTATTTGAGGAGCGATGTGTTGGACCGACTCCTGGAAGCGTTCGGCAACAACCACCCGCCGGTGCGACGGCCGAAGCCGAACTGAGTCTGACGTCTGATCCAAAGGTCACAGTTCACCGGTCACGCACGCGCTCTGTCCCGCTCGTCGCCATTAAGTAAACAAAGTATAAAGCAACCGAAAAAATACTCTAAACTCAAATATGTCTTTATAAGTCACTAATTAATAGCCTCAAAAGGTCCTACCTTTGCGCCTCGAGGGCTTTGTGTCCTATCACCAGCCCGAATTGGGTTCTCTCGCGCCTCACGAAAGCACAAAAACTAACACGCCGTGAAATCGTCTTTTCGATTATTATCTCACTAAAACGCGTTAAACAATACACAAAACTACTCGCTACGGAATTATCAGCCCTCCTGAAAGGGTCTGCACCCGTTTCCCGGTCTGTAACACCTCTTTTACCACCTTTATTCGATTATTCTAACGGAGCTCGCAACACCAAGATGTTTACGCGTTCACCGCTCTAAACGAACTCCAACCCAACCTTTTTTTTTTTTTTTTTTTTTTTTTTTTTACGAGGTTGGGGAAAAATCTGCTAAACAGACATCTGGCCTGTGGTGATGGGCGGCCAGATAGTGTAGGGTTGGAGTCATTTACCCCGTCCCGTCCGATGCGGTCATGTGTATAAAGAAAGGCAAAATTAATTTTTTGAAATGATTTTTATTTCACTCGTACCTGGGTGCGGGGGAAAATATTCCCCCTTAGTTCCTCTTCCTATCTACTTCACCACCCTCTTCCCTTCTTCCTCTCCTGCTCATCCTCTTTCCTTTTTTCACCTCAACCCAGGCAGCCTGGATGAGAGGGACAGTTCCCCCTAATCTCTTCCTCTTCTCCCCTCTGTGAAATTCCGCACATTAATCTCTCCATGCCTCCGGCCCATTCAAACAAAAAAAAATAAATAAAAGGAATCCAATTACTTTCTTGAAATAGTTGTAATAAGAAACATACCTGGATGAGAGGGGAGTTCACACCCCTCCTTGTAGTCTTCCTTAACCGGGCTCTCTCAGTGAAACTCGGCAATGCGTTCCAACTCCCTCTCGGTCTCTTCCTTACACTTCATTATATTTCTAAATAGCGTCGCCACTGCCTGCCATTTCGCCTCGCTTTCCAACATCTGTGTCACCGCGTTGCCTTTATCGACTGTCACCCCACACTCTAATTCACACCTCACTCTTTCTGCATCAAAATATCGACATATAAACAGCGTGTGGTCTGGTGAGTCTACTTCTCCACAGAACCAGCATACTTTTTGATATCGGCCATCTTCCGGCGGGACTCGCCAGGTTAGGGGTCGTTTTGGATTCTGTCAAGGTGAAAAATATTGTGCGGTGATCGCTCAAGTTATCATTTTCGTCATCTACTTCNGCCGCGTCGGTCATTACACTGAACATTTATTACACACTTACAAGGACTACACAACTCCGGAATTCTGCCGGCCTTCCAAAATCTTCACCTGTAACCCAGGCAGGTGCCCTACAGGGTACTACCGTCCGGGCCAGGCGGACCCCGGTTTTTTAACGAGGTGTGCTCCTCGAGCTCAGGTACCTCGGGTTCGCTAAGCCCGTACCCCGTGATCACACTAGGCCCCTGAGGGGAACCCAACCCAACCCAACCCAACCCAACCCAACCCTTTTTTTTTTTTTTTTAACGAGGTTGGGGAAAAATCTGCTAACCAGACATCTGGCC